ACAGAATTTAACTTGATTTTTAAATCGATTTTTTACCAGTATGTAATCTATTTGGTAGCGGGCAATATCACCTGGCATTTTCCATGTATATATTCTTCTCTTAGGGTTTTGAAATCTGGTGATTGTTATAATCATCCMATTTTCTCTGCAAAACTCCACTACTCTTTCTCCTCTTGCATTTCTCTTACCTAAGCCGAAGTYTCCGACTTATCTACCTTCCCTGCCTTCTCCAACTATAGCATTAAAGTCTCCCACGATGATTACGTTATCGAGTGGTTTAGTATGTTTCATTAGCTCTTCAATGCCTGCATACACTTCTTCCACTTCTTCATCATCTGCTTTTGATGTTGGCATATAAACTTGTATAATTGCAAAGTTGTTTGGTGTTGACTCCATTTTGACCAAACATAGTCTGCTACTATAGGCCACAACATTCGTAATCCTTTTATTCCACTTCTTATTGAGAGCAATTCCAACACCGGCTTGTCCTTTTGTACTACGAGTATTTGTATGAATAACTCTGATGTCGTCAGACCAGAAGTCACCATTATCTGGCCAACGTATTTCGCATAATCCTAATATGTCTATATCTAGTCTTTTCATTTATATTTTTATATGTTCCAGCTGTCCTGTTTTCAACATTGTTCGTACATTCCACGTTCCTATTCTCTGCGTTTTGTTCTTCTCACATGCATCCTGCAGGGTAGCTCCCACCCGGACATCCGAATGGGGAGCTATTTTACGTCCGGAMAAATYTTTTACACTGCGAAAATTCATTTTAGAAGACAAAATAGTAGTTGCCTAACTAGGGATATTAATGTGGTAGTTTCCCCTTGCTTTCCACATCGCAGTAGCATCCATTATTACTAAAGGATGCTATTTAAGCATAAATTAATTTATGCTTGATACTAGAAGAGCTGCTGCCCTCTTCTAGGTCCATTTTGGTCGCCTCTTACRACGGGCATAGACTGCCGAGGGTGAATTCTAATCCCCACCCCAGGGCTAAATTATGWAATACCTAGTATAACCGTTTGTCAATTAAAATTGGTTTCTTATTACTATWTTAAAAGGATAATAGCAGTCACTTTTTGGAATGACTGGCGTTACCCCGTTTCCAATTAGTATAGGAAAATGTATGTAAATTGCCAACTTAAATAAGTTTAATAAGTTTTATTTTGTTTTGATGCCTCGGAATTATAAAAAGAAAAGTACTAGGGGTAATTGGAGTCCACTATCTTTAATAGAAGCAAATCTTATATTAAAAATAAAACACTCGTAACATCCGTAAAGCAGCTAAACAATATAATATACAATTCAGCACTTTAAACAAATAATATAAGGCCAGCCATAATAGGACATCCCTCTATTTTCACTTTAGATCAAGAATTAGAAATCGCTAAGCATGTTTTAAATTTATCAAATTTGTTTTATRAGACTGTCACCCATTGAGTTAAAACCAGCTGCATTGAAATTTGCAGAAAAAAACCATATMAAACATCCTTTTAAGCTTTAATATACAAAAAAAATTAGCTAGAATAGACTGGTGTTATAACTTGATTCAAAGAAACCCAACAGTCACTGTCCGAAAACCTGAGTCCACAAGTATGAGTAGAATATCAGCTTTCAACAAAGCAGTGGTAGGACTATTTTTCAAAACCTATAAGGGTTAGTTATAAGTTTTKCCCAACTAAAATATTTAATATAGATGAAACAGGCATATCCATTATCCACTGTTCAGGATCCTAGTAATATTATGTCACCAAAAGGACAAAAACGGGTTGGCTCTGTTACTAGATGGGAGCGTGGAAAAAATAATACTGTTATTTGTGATACGATTGCATCCGGGTCATTCATACCACCACCATTTATTTTTCCACGTAAAAGGATTGATATTAAATTGACTAKAAATGGTCCACAAGAGCAATTATGAATGTATAAAAAATGGGTTGACAACAAAAACATTTTTATCATTATTCAAACCTCACAGATGAAAATGCAGTTCTATTAATGCTAGATAATCATGGCTGTCACAGATCATTAAAGGTTTACGAATTTTGCAAAGAACAGAATATTGTCATGCTATCATTACCCCCACACACATCACACAGAATACTGCACTTAGATGTCACTTTTTTTGGACAATTCAAAACAGCTTTTAGAACAGAATGTGATTTGTTTATTAAGAAATATGCAATGGTTAAAATAACGCCTTATGGTATTGCAGAATTTTTTAATAAAGCCTCCTTTAGAGTTGCTACACTTTAAAATGGTATATCAGAGTTCTCTACTACAGTGATTTGTCCTATGAATCCAAACATATTTAYCGAGGTGGATTTCTATGCCTCATCAATATTTAACCAAGATGACACACAAGTATTTCTTTAAATAATACCCATAATATTAACCACAAATCAGCAAYAGCTTATGAACCAAATGGTGTATAGCATCATTCACTAAGTACGTATTTCTATACGAGATATAACGCCTATTCCAAAGAAACTTCCTCAAAAAGTTATGAGACAAGCAGCTGCAAAGCAATATTCGAGTATACAACATCCATAGCATAAAATCTATGCTCAAATAAAGAGAAAATAAAAGAAAAGGAAAAAATAAAAAAGCTGAAGATAAACTAAAAAAAATTAAAAGAGAAACTAAGAAAGGACATGGAAATAATTGTAAGTATTAATTAATGTATCAGGCAGGTATTAACTACCTACATCCATATATTTTATATACTTATACATTTATATTTACACATATTATTATTAAATTATTATTTTAATATCAAAAAAAGAAAACTTTACAATGGATTTGATGAAAGCTGCTCTTCTGATGAAGATGTGGATATTTTAGACATTTTTKATGATAATAGTGATGATGATTTTGATGATGGTGTAGAGGTTTGTTTTATATGTGAAGAAAGAGGAAAGGATACAATTTKTTATAGGTGTACGTGTACAAATTGTGGTTATTGGATCTATGTTGAGTKTAGTGAARCAAACGCTGCTGAAGAATACACATGTAATATTTGTGTTTGAAGTTTTAGAAAAAAACAAGTTAAAATGTTACCTTTGTTTAATGTAATACTTATGTTACCATATTGTTGATTTATTAAAACTATATATTTGTAAATAAAATAAGGTTTGTTTTTTGAGAGACTCRAAAGCTGAGCTAAACCAAAAATTACTAAAATTTAAAATTTATATTTTATTTTTAGTTAGATGCATTTCGAATATATAAAAAGGACTGATTATTATATTCATCTCCTATAGTTRTAGCACATATTTAATTACTAATGCAGTAATGCCAATTAATTCTAATTAAATTCGTAATCTGATAGACTGATGATAAACTTAACTAAAAATWACTATGAATTTTTRAAAAATCCTGAGACATTAACATAATGAAATCAAAATGTTCATGCATCCATTTATTGTAAGAGCATAATATTTAGAGTCTTAGACCCTGAGATATAACAATTCTTGCTTAGATGACCGTACTTTCTCCAGTCTCCTCTCWAACAGAATTAACCTTAGCTAAACTTTAGCCTTTGAAAGTTTCATCTGTATCGAATTTTCCATTTATAGACAACTGACCACTTTTAAAGCACGCTTTCCAAAAAAAAAAAATTAGGTACCTACAAAAAAAATAAATCAATAAATGCATCATTATTGTACAAAACCCAAACGCATTTTAAACTTGTCATGCAATATATGTGCATTAATTGAAATCCTGATCCTGATTCATAATCAGTTAAAACAATATTTAATGTTACCCATGATATATAAACAAAAAATATAATATTGTGCTCAAGTAATTCAAAAAGAGTTCTATAATCTATGTATAAAATTATTTTGTCAGGAAATTCCTAACCAATACGACAGTTATATTATATTACAAAAGATTTTAAACATCATATATAATAAATATGTATAGGTATGTATTTGTTATTTACCGGATTTAACAGAGCCACTTAAAGCAGTAGGTCCTAAGTTCACTACGGAATACGAACATTGCTTGTCTTCATCCGAATAGCTGTAATTTAAATATAATATTTCAATTATTCATTAAAGTATATTTTTATATTATGATTTATTTTTATTTTCTTATCTAATGTAAAGTTTTTGGTTTTTTTTTCAATTGAAATATTTTTCAAATCAAAGATAAACACATAATCTCTATATACGCATTTGAGTATAGGTGCGTTTACAAATATGGTTTTGTACAAAAAAAAAGGAAACTGTATTTTCCATTAAAATCTATTGCTTTTCTTAAAAATAGTTAGGTACTATAATTAACAACCATAATGTTTATTTGTATTACATTTATATAGATGGTAAGAATTACTTAAAATGAAAAAATATAAAAATTAAATTAATTTATTATATGATATTTTAATTATATTTAATTCTTAGTGTAAATTTAAGTATAACCGTTGATATTAAAATTTTAAGTGATTAGTATTTTATTTCATCAATGTTTATAAGCCAGTAATATGGCATAGATGCATGATACATAATAAATCATTAATGAAATTTACATTTTATTACTACAATATTGTGGATAATAAAAGAACATAATATAACATTTAACCATTATTTTATTTATTATATATAATAATAGATCATTTAGAATAATGCCGTTATTCTAGATAAGGTCGATAAGGAGGTAAAGTGATATTGAAATTACATAAATGTATTTACAAACATTAAATTAAAAACATTTTTGGTACATTTAGTGTAAAGATTTCTAATGTAACATAAGAATAATTACTAAAGACAATGATTTCACAAAATTTCAAGATTTTTGGTCTTTTATTTAAAAATGTAACTATCAATTAAATTCATAAGTTTGTCAACTTAGGTAGGTACCACACTCTTYCCTATATAAATAAATAGTAACATTGACCGTCATGAGTTCTTGTATGAGATCTCACCAGTTTACTCCCTGCCGCCAAGGGGGTTTTACTTWGCAACAGTTTTGACGATTTAAACAAGTATTGACAAAAATAAAAATAAAAATAATATCTGCAAGCTTGTTACACCATCTGAAAGTGGCAACACTGTACTTTTCAAATCCGACAAAAAGTACCGAATATTGAGACTCCGTATGAGATCTCACCAAAAATCGATTTCGGTGAGATCTCATATGGAGTCTCGATATTCAGTACTAATACCTAATTGTTTTGAGATCTCAAATAAAATCTCATCGCGGTTATGAGTTACAAGACAAAAAAAACAGTGGCGGTCAACGAGTTAAATGTTTTATCATTGGACGATAGWAAGTTAGTTTATAATACAATAACATAAGAATAGACTATAAYATAGAACAATTTMTGTATGTATATATAGATTGTTGCATTTAAAACTGTAAATTACATTGAGATTTTGCACCTTTTAACGCTGGAATTACTACTGATCAATGACACCGAGCTAGACCCGCAACTTGATTTTGCTTTGTTCAAAAACAGACCGGACACGATGGGTAATTCCAAATCCTTTTCCAACAAATATTGCTTAACAGTAGGTTCGACTTCGATGTGTCGAACAGACATTTCTGACAACTGCTCTAAAACGCACTTGTTCACTTTTTTCATCATTCTCACCACAATATCCCGCTGTGAAAACACGAGTCATTAAAAATATCCTAATAAATTGAGTGTTTGTACAAAATCATCATGAAGGCATCATAAGGTTAAATATAATAACCAAAGAATATTTTGTAGATTTCTATCA